CCCGCACCCCACCCCAGACTCACCATCTTCCATGGATTCCATATGTTTACAAATTCTTAGGTCTGACTCCCTAGGTGTCAGCTCTGTGTGAAGCCACCACCTCTCTGAATGACTGTGGGGTCTGTTTTCTTTATGATGTGAAGCTGTGTCCCTTCTGGTTCAGGACCCATTCTCACATGTAGAGAGAGAAGCGTCAAGGCGCTGTCAGAGCACCTTGACTACAGCATCACCTGGAATCTACCTAGGTAACATTCCCCTTCCCTCAGTAGATTCTTCTGACCACAGTGCAGTCTCGATCTACAATGGGAGATGCTGGAGACTGGCAAGTGACTTGGGGCCCTAAATATGGGTGATCCTAGTTCCTAAAGTGAAGGCGAGGGTCTAAGGCCTCATTCCTACCCTCATTTCCCACAAGACCCAGCTCACACCCCTCTCACAATTTGAGACATCTCATCTAGGGCCCCTTAGCTACAGGGACTATATTTTATGAACCCCAAATCAGAATATATATTCAGATTGAGATATAACATCTGCATGAGCCCCACCAATCCTTGCAACCCTCAACTGGTAGGTTTGTGTGGTGAGTTTGGAGGTCAGCTTTCACTTGTGTGTTCAGGAACCCAGACATGCCTGCACTTGGCCTCGGTCCAGCCACAACCCCTCACTCAGTGGTCCTTGAAGGAGATATTAGCACAAGAGGCCATGGCATCTCCTGGCTTGGGCTTGAATCTCCAGAGCAGGTTCCCTGGCAAAGTGGATTTCATTATGTGGTTTAATCCAAGAGAGCTTTTCTCTCCCTAAACTCAAACCCAGATCTCAGGAGTACTCTGGCCTCTGGCTGATGCACTGGGAGTGCCCAACCAAGGGGAGATGAGGGAGCAAGATGGACAGGCCAGTTCATCACTCCTCGGGGGTAGAGACAGGAAGCCGAGAGAGAGAGAGAGGGCTCATGCATTTGTGTGCGGTCCTTTAATGGAAGGTGGCGACAGCCATGGCCCCTCAGCGACAGGGAATCTAAGCCAATCAGAGGAGTATGAGGCCCTCTTTGGGAGAAGGGTGGCTACTCCCTCCCAGGTAGTATGACATTCTGAGCTCTTCTGCCAGAAAGTACAGTTTTATCTACAGATATGTTATGGAATATGGTATATGATGATTCATGAAACTTACCTCTAATCCTATGTATAAATCACAAAGTCTCAGAGGTGCTTACTAAAACTGGAGGGATACGGGCCCATCTCAAGGAGATCCAGCACTGCCAAGCCTTGGTCCTGTTCACTCTCTCTTACTTTCCCCCACAAAATGAGGTAGAGTCATCTCCCCAAGATCTATTTTAGGCCAGGACTGGGAAGACAGTCAGCCACAGTTTTATTTATTTTAATTTTTAAAAAAGATTTTATTTATTTAATTGAGAGAGAGAGAGAGCACAAGCAGTGGGGAGAGCAGAGGGAGAGGGAGAAGCAGGCTCCGCACTGAGCAGGGAGCCCAGTGTGGGGCTCGATCCCAGGACCCCAGGATTATGACCTGAGCCCAAGGAAGACACTTAACTGACTGAGCCACCTAGGCATCTCTCAACCACAATTTTAAATAGAAAAAACTCAGTTTCGTGAATGATGAGCACTTATTCTAAATGTGCCCTCATTATGGGTCGTTCACCAGCTATAATGTAGACAGGAAAGCAAAGACATTCTACCTTCAAGGAGCTGTTAGGGGCAGCCACTCAAAAGCACTCACCACGTCAGCTGAGACCTCTTCATTGTGTCTGTGTGGGATATAAAGAGAGCAAAGAAACAAAAAGCAGAACACCTAAAACAATAGGATTCAGATCAAAGTGGAACAATTATGGCAATAAATAATAACGATTCATATTTATAGCATTAATAAGTAAAGAGTATCAAACTGGGTACAGATCGGATTTGAATCATTTCTTGCATACAGGAGATATCCTGCAATAAAAATGACACAAAAGGTCAAAATAACAGGTTAAGAAAACTTGTCACATGTGGCTTTTTAAAAAGATGACAATATTAATATTTAATGACATTAATTCATCCAACTTTTGCTTATCTCACTACGTGCTCAGCAGTGTTCCCTGTACTAAATGCCTTACCATACAAGCTGGAGAGTCTGTCATGACCGGGGAGTGAGGAATAAGTATGCTTCGTTATTAAGGTGTTTTTATTTTACTGGGTTTTTTTTAAAGATTTTATTTATTTATTTGAAAGAGAGAGAGCGAGTGAGCACAAGCAGGGGGGAAGGGCAGAGAGAGAGAGGGAGAAACAGGCTCCCCACTGAGCAGGGAGCCCGACGCAGGGCTCGATCCCAAGACTCTGGGATCATGATCTGAGCTGAAGGCAGACACTTAACCAACTGAGCCACCCAGGTGCCCCATTTTACTGGTTTTTATTGTGAAAGGAGCACATGGTTTCTGTAACAAAGTTCAGTAAGACAGATGAGTGAAAGTACAGGTATGGGTCTTCCCTCCCCCAACCTCAGCCTCTCTCCCCCAGGCTAAGCCTCCTTACCACTGGGTGTCCCTCCACCCAGAATTTTCCCCTAGTCCTAGACCACATATATAATCTTTTTAAAAATGGAGATCATGTTTTTCACCTTTTTTTTTTTTTTTTACTTAACAAATCCTGGGTCTCTTTCCAGGTCGGTTCATATAGATTGGGTTCATTTTGTTTTGTGTCCGTAAGCCTTTCTTTTATATTGGTGTGTTTTAATGTAAATGGTCCCCCTACATGGATATTTCAGATTGTTTTTATTTCTCTTGACCACTTCAAGGAACTGGTGAAGGTCTCACACACGCTTCTCTATGTACAAGCCGTTGTGTCTTGCGTGGGATGATTTTCCTGACGGGGGATGTGAGCTTCAGCATATGCACATTTATGTGTTGAGATACTCCAAATCATTGTTCCGAAAGTGCTATCTATCACTTTCTGTTCCAACCAAGTGCCTTAGAAGACACATTCCCCTCTCTCTCAGCAGCCCAGGACGCTTTTATTCTTTTTTATTTTAAGATTAACTTATTTAAAAATATAAGATTAATTTATATTAGAGAGAGAGAGTGGGGCGGGGGAGGGACAGAGAGAGGGAGAGAGAGAAACTCAAGCAGACTCTGTGCTGAGCTTGGAGCCCTACTCAGGGCTTGATCTCATGATCCTGCAATCACAACCTGAGCCAAAACCAAGAGTCAGATGCTTAACCAACTGCACCACCCAGGTGCCCCAGGGATGCTTTCATTCTTCTAACTTTTGTCAAAGTGGTCAATGAGATGGTATCTTGATGTGGTCTAAATATGAATTTTGGGGGGCTGCTAATGTGGTTAAGCATCTTTTCATATATTTATTGGCCATTGTTTTTCTTCCTCTGTGAAACACCTTTTCAAAGAACATGAGAAATATCTGTTTACAGGAAATGAGAACCAAAGTTGAAGTATCAAGGATTTTGTTATTACCCCTTACATCTTCAAAAAAAGAAGAGGTATGGGTGAGGGCTAGGGCCAGGGTTCAGGCGCAGGGAGGGGAAACATTTATTAATCACACTAAAAACCTTTAAAAATCAAAAGCATTCCATGAAGATGTGACAAACATAAGAAAACCTGCAAGTTCTTTTAGCCTTCCAGAAAACAAGCAATTCTCACATCATATAAATTGCCCCAGAAACAAAAAACTCAGTATGTATTGAGCAAAGTCTATGAAGCGAATGAACATAACACTAATAACAAGACTTAATTACACAGAAAGAAAACTATACCTCCATATTTATGACCCTAAGTGAACATATCGAATACAGTAGGGAATATAAATATATGTTTATATTATATATATTTATTTTATATATATAATATATATAATATATTTTATATTATTATATAAAAAATCTATAGCATACTGATGCAACAACCAAGTTGGGGTTTTCACAGAATATAAGGACAATTTGATATATGGAAATTTATGCACACAATACACTATATTCATGGGATAAATAAGAAAGGAAAATTATGATCATCTCCTTATAGCCTGAAAATAATCCTAATAAAAATATTTAAATCTAGGAGTAAAACATAAACTTTATCATGATGAAGAGTAGTTTTGGTAAACCAGCTGCCAACAGTGAAATACTAGAGCCAGTTTCATAAAATTAAATAATTTAAGAATTCAAGCTAATCCAACAAGGCATGGAACCAAAATAAGAAAAATAAGTATTGAAAAAATAAGAAAGCCACCCAACATTATGTATTCTTGAAGCATTCATTCAATAACTATTATAATTAGCAAAAATGCAGTGAAGCACAGAGGAGTGTTAAAAATGAGTAACATTTCTGGGCGCCTGGGTGGCTCAGTTGGTTAAGCGACTGCCTTCAGCTCAGGTCATGATCCTGGAGTCCCGGGATCGAGTCCCACATCGGGCTCCCTGCTCGGCAGGGAGTCTGCTTCTCCCTCTGACCCTCCCCCCCTCATGTGCTCTCTCTCATTCTCTCTCTCTCTCTCAAATAAATAAATAAAATCTTAAAAAAAAAAAATGAGTAACATTTCTATAGAGTAACAAAGCAAGTCAGAAAACACAACACTGAAAGATACTATTCCTAATAGCATCAAAACAATTTGAGGCTCCTAGGGAAAAACATTAGTATGAAATGTAAAGAAGCAACAAATCTTTCATTTTTTCAAAGAAAAATGAAAGCCAGAGGCGCTGGGGAGCCGTACGGTGCTGCTGGGCAGGAATGTAGCAGGTCCTTGGATTTAATCAAGAATCTATCCTGAGCCCTCCTCAATGACCCATATTTACATATACTACAACAGCAGAAAACTTCCTTTGTAAAGTTTAACTAGAAACACAAAAAGCTCCTGGGCCCTGCATGGGAGCTCCTGCACCCAGCACTGTAGGAAGCCAGAAAGCAGAGGGGGACACCAGAGCCCATCCCTGGCCCAGTCACTGGCCAGAGCCGCTGCAGCCAACAGGACAGGGTTGGTGCCATTATACACAGAAGGACGCATATGGGTGACAAAAACATGAAGCCCCCAGTGTGCCACAATAACATTTCTATAAACATGAAGGTACGCATGAAATAGCAGGGAGTAGCAATATGGAAAAAGCTCATCCCCTAATATGAGTTTACCAATAACACATATACTGATGGTATGTTATAAAAACCCCGTGAAAAAGAAAATGCATTGAAAATAACTGGAAGTAAATGAACAAAATTGATAGTTATGTTGTGGTAGCAGTGGGGGCGATCTTTGTCAAATTACACTGGAAATATATTTAAAGTGATTTTTGAGCAAGAAGAAAAGATGCAACCTTAGAGTCTTTAAACAGGGGTAAAGACTTTCCTCCCTGCCTGTGTAGGGAGGAAAAACATTTTCCCTCTACCCTTCTGAGTTCTTAGACTAAGACCCTGTAATAAAAGACAGATTAACAAGAGAAAAATGAACAGAAGTTTATTAACATGTATACCTTGTGTACATGTGAGGGTGACCCAGGGGACAAATGAGTAATTCCCCAAGGTGGCTTAGAATTCAGTCTTAAATACCAATTTAATAGGAAAAGGGTAAGGAGGGGAGGTAGACCTCTTGGGGTGGGGGAGGAGTAAATGCTTTCTGGGAAAGACAAATGGGCCCTTAGAAGAACAGGCAGGAGGTTTATAGTTTGGGACAGAGTGTGTCTGGGTGTGGTGTCGACTTCCAGCCTTCTGTCCTGGGAGAAGAGGCTGCTGACACTCCCAGGGGGGAGTCTATGACAAATGAACTCCTTTTGGAGGATCTGTCTTTAGGCAGATGAGGGAAGTTCAGAGAAAGCCTCTCCCTGTATCTGCTGTATTTCAAGTGCCTTCAGCTCAAAATAATCCATATCCCAAAGCAGCGTCTTTTGGAGTCAGATTTTCTGCTACCCTTCACCTACCTGGTTAAAACAACTAACCAGCCAATGAACTCATGGCTATGGAGGCTTAAGCAGAGATGGGACAGTCCTGCCAGGATTGTAGAGGGTTGGACAGAATGATCACTCACTTTCAAATTTACAGTGGTATCAGTAACATGGCCTTGATCATCTTTGTGCCTGTTGTTGGGTTATTGGCAGACTTGGTGATTTAACATGTAATATCACCATTTCAAAAGTCCTTCACCAATCTGCTTTGCCACCAGAAACCTAAGAGATCACAGTTTCACCACGTCCTGGTTAGCACTGGATCTTATCAGAGTTTAATTGTTTGGTTAAAATCATTAGGCCAAAATGATGTGAAATTTTCAAGACATTAAGATTTTTGATATTCTAACCTTGCTTTTCTTATCTACAATGTTATAACTGGATAGTCTGTTTTGCTGGAGCATCATTAAACATTTCTGGACAAGATGACTAGAGAAGAAATGCACTACATACTCTCTCATCCAGAGGCTTGGGAGATGATGGTGGAGAGAAGTTGTCTGGACAGGTAATCCTAGAACAGTGATGTTTTGGGGGGGAAATGACCAGGATGTGCATTCTGTGAGGGCAGGGGTTTGGGCTGATGTGCTCAGTGCCCTAATCCCAGCCTCTAGAACAGCGTCTGGCACAGACCTGACTCCCAGGATATTTGAGTTTGGGAAGGAAATCTGATTGTTAATATCCAGATTGTGTCACTAGGCTGTCGCCAGCTTCATGGTAGGAAATGTACAAATGTGTTCTGACCAAGTTGGCTGAAGAGTTGATCATGCTATCTCATGTACCTCCCTTTCCAATTGGAAATGTGCAAAAAGAGGGGGAAAAAAGGATTTGCACATCCTCAAAAAACATTTTCTTAGGAAAGCAAATTAAAAACCTTTGGTAAGCACATTAGTAGGTGCCAAGACCCTCTGCCTATTGGCTGATGCATTCCTAGAAGCAGAATTTGCTTCCTTTTCCCCATCCTTGCTTATGTCACCAGAACGTCTAGGCCTTGAGACCCAAACTCCTGGGACTCCTCTTTCACAGCCTTTGCCTGGGCATTCAGGCTCTCCGGGAGAGCTTGGCTGCAGCATTATACTCATTGATAATGGAATCCGCAACTAGCCTACCAGAAGCTGCCCTAACTCTTGCCCAAGTGTCCATAAATTCTATAAAATGAGCTCCAGGGCTTACCCCAAGCTCTTAAATTATAAAATCTTCCTGAGACATGCAAACCAGAGCTGCCTGCCCTTTTAGGACGAGAACGTCCATTCCATGTACTTCTGTCGTGGGCCCAGCCTCCCTCCCCAATCCGTCCCTCTTCCACTCTTCAGACTCCTCCTCACGGTGCCCATTAATCCTGGTGCAGATCAGAACAAAGCCCTTCACGTTTGCTGCTGGCTGATGAGCCCAACTTGGACTCAGGTTAATTAGGTCACGTCCACTGTGCCTGTGCACGGGCTTATCCCCCCTCCTTTGGTGAAGGCAGAGAGATGATTTTCCCTTTCTCAAGGGACTAGTAGCCTTGACCAGCAGGTGAGGCCAACTAGAGGCTTCTGGAAAGCTGGAGTCTTAGCCAAATTCCATCACAAACTGGATTGTCATCTAGGGAGAGTCACCTTGCCCTCAGGGCCAGCATTGTCCTCGGTGATGGGGGGGGCAGTGCTTGGACTCACTGATGGAGCGAATGTGGCAGATGGCCACTTTCCTTCTGCGCTGGGCCTGCAGAGAGCATCAGGGCCAATGCAGCACTCCTTCTCAGAGCCTACCTGTGTATTGAAATACTTCTGTGACAGTGGTCTGGACACCCTAACAGCTGTGGCAGGAATGTGGACGCCTCTTTGCCGTCTATGTCCAGACGATCTGGGGGAGCCTTCCACCTTAACACCCTGAAGCTCTAAGACTTCAGTTGGAGGGGGGCTTAACTCCTAGGTGTACAGAGACGTCCCAAAGGAAACTCTGAGTATGCCTTTGTTAAAGAGTGACATGGTGCTGGGGCAGGATGGAGGGAGGTTCCTGCTGCTTCCCTGGGCAGGGGTCAGTTGGCTGGTCTACCTGAGGCTGCTGATGGCCTTACCCAGGACTCTAAAGTGATTGTCAACAATCCCTTTCTGGAGGCCTTGGGGTTGCTTGGTCTCAGTGTGGTTTTCCCATGAGCCCTGCCTTCTTTTCCAAAGACCTCCTCTCCAGGATTAAACCCATGCCCAGTCTGTTGTGGGTGCTCAAGTAGGACGGAGCTAGAAACAAACCTAAGGGTCAGACAAGTCAGATTCTGAGACGTGCTATAGGCAGCCGGTTCCGGCATCCTGCACAGTCCAATGGTGTCCACTTGGGAAGCCTCCAATCCTGTAAGACAAATTTCCTCACAACGGTGATTCTCAAACATAGAGCCACAAGAACTGTGGTGTTCCAAATCGATTCCACAGGAAAACGGAATAATGGTGGTCTTTTCTCCAAAATATAGGGGAGGGGCGCCTGGGTGGCTCAGTCGTTAAGCGTCTGCCTTCGGCTCAGGTCATGATCCCGGGGTCCTGGGATCAAGCCCCACGTCAGGCTCCCCGCTCTGTGGGAAGCCTGCTTCTCCCTCTCCCACTCCCCCTGCTTGTGTTCCCTCTCTCGCTGTGTCTCTCTGTCAAATAAATAAATAAAATTTAAAAAATACATATATATATAGGGGAAATTTGAGTTAATGGAGAGAATTTTCTGAATTGTACATTTTTTTCCTTCCTTATCACTTCTTTTTAAGACGATGTGCTTCTCCTACTTGCCTGTTCACAAGCGAACAGATAGAACTTTCTGTGTCTAAGCACCATCAATCACCCTCTTGTTAGAAATCTACTTTCGGTTGCCAAAATAACACAACACCGTCAAACCAAATGGCAAACAATGAGCCCTCCTCTATGGAAGAGGTCATATTTGGGGTCTCCTTGGAGGTTCTCCCTCCTTTTTCTTTGGAAGTGTAGGTTATTTTGTTCATTTTCTGAATTAATTCTAAAACACGCATATGATACAAAACTTCAAAGGAGTAGAACACGCATATGATACAAAACTTCAGAGTAGAAGAGCAAAGAGTAAAAAGTAAAATCTCCCTCAAATCATTTCCCAGCTCTCCGGCTCTTTACCCCAGAAGCAACTACAATTTCCAGGTAGATCCCCTTTTAACAGAAAAAAAGAAAATCAAGCCATCTCCTCTAGGGGTTGTTAGGACTCTCATTTCCCTGGATAGCATTGCTCACAAGCTGTTCTAGATGTATGAATTATACACGTATGTGTGTGTGTGTGTGTGTGTATGTATGTATATATATAAACATATATATATACATATATATATATAAATGTGGTCACCCCCAGGTGACCCTCTAGAGAGGAACCCTCTGTCACGATGCTCCCCTATTGTACCTTCGTGCCCAGGGCCCCGCTCCCTGAATGTGTGAGAGAACACAGATGACCTAGAAGTTTTTAGCTCTCCTGGGGAGCCCGTCCCAGAGTTGGAAAAATAATCACGTGACCTGGGCTGTCCGCAGCAATGAGGCCAACACGCTGTACAATATCCTGATGGAAGAGCTGATCCGACAAAAGGAAGCGTCCATGCCAGGAAACCTGTCGGAGGAGGAAAAGATGTTTCTCTTATGTTTTCCCTTGCAGAAGTATAAGCTGGAAAAGAGTATCAGAGAACTTCACGCTATTGCAGACCAAGTTGACGCGACCCATAAGATGCTCACCAAGACCAGCCTGGTGGCCAGCTCCTCAGGCACCATCTCTGGAGTCATGAGCCTCTTGGGTTTGGCCCTGGCCCCCGTGACAGTAGGGGGCAGTCTGATGCTCTCAGAGGCTGGGCTGGGCCTGGGGGCTCAGCTGCTGCCACCAACATGTTGACGAGTATCTTAGAAAGTAGGAACAACTCGGCAGCCAGAGACAGCCAGCAGACTGGTGCCTATGGAAACAACCATGGTGTATGAAGCTTTTGAAGAAATAAGGAGGCCTGCAATCCACGCTGCTTTGTCGCGTGTCGATAGAGGTGTCAGGGTCATCAAGAACGTTGAGGAGCTTCGGGCCCGCCAGATGGCCCAGCCAACTCTGGCTTCATGGCTAAGGTCAATAATTTCACGGCCACAAACCGTGTCCCCTTCTGGAGGGCGGGACAGCTACAGACTGCTGTTGAAGGCTCTGCTCTGTCCATGACCAAAGGTGTCCGGCCGCTGGGTGCTGCTGGGGCTGGCTTCCTACTTGTGCAAGATGTGAAAAGCCTGCTGCAGAGCTGGAAGCACCTGGAAGGAGGGGGCAAGGGCAGAGACCGCCGAGGAACTGAGGACAGTCACCCTGCAGCCGGAGCAGGAGCTGAGCCAGCTCACCCAGCGCTACAGGCTGACCCTCCGGGGGCAGGGCTGGCGGGAGAGCCTGTCCCCAAATCAGGAGGTAGGAAAGGGTACAAGAGGTGCGTAAGGCAGATGTGGGCCCGGTCTTCCTGAAGTGTCCCACGAGGGGAATGCTAAAGAGGTAGACGCATAAATAGATACAGGATCATAACTGTCCTTTCTGCAGAGAGGATGTTCCCCACACCCCTCTGTCAAATGAGGTTCCTCCTCTTCTTTCCAGAATCCCATCTTTTTCTCTCAAAGCGCTGTCCACACACTTCTGAAATTACAAATTTTGCGTAGGTACTCACCGTCTGTCTTCCTGCACGGTGTACCCCCTGGGAGGGCAGGGGTGTGCCCCCAGCATCCGGCAGGGCCCGGCTCACTGCAGGTGGGCCACCGACTTGTCTTGAATGACATGAGGGTGGCATTCCAGGATACAGGTGACGTTTCAAATGAGTTGGAGAAGGATTTTTATTTGAAAAATGTATTTCTAGACTTTTTTAAGAGTTTATTTATTTATTTGGCAGAGTGAGCGAGCACAAGCAAGGGGAGCAGCAGAGGGAGAGGGAGAAGCAGACTCCCCGCTGAGCAGGGAGCCCGACGCGGGGCTCCATCCCAGGGTCCCGGGATCATGACCTGAGTTGAAGGCAGGCGCCCAACCAACTGAGCCACCCAGGCGCCACTAGACTCTCTTATTTAGGGACATTAAATATCTAGCTATAAAAACTGAAAACCACTACCGGGAAGATAAAGGAGAATTTCAGAACTCCTCTTTAATTTTACAGGGAGTATAGAATGTGACCAGGTAGCATGGCCACTCCCTGGGGTCCCAGAGAGGGACACACCAGACTTTGCTGAGGGTGTGAAGGCTCATAATCATAAATTCATTCATTCATTCATTTGTTCGTTTGACAGATTTTAATTAACTGAGGCCCGTGACAGGGGCCCAGGACTTAAGGGAGTGTTTCCAAACTTGTCTGCAAGTTGGAATCACCTGGGAAAATTCCACAACTACTGATGAATGGGTGGGTCCCGCGTGTCCCCAGGGACTGGGATTTCCTTGATCGGGGGTATGACCTGGACTTTGGGAGTTTTACAGGCTCTCCAATAATCCCATTGTTCAGCTGAGGTTGAGAACCACTGCTTTAAGGCATGAGGTGTTCTAACTCTACTGTATCAACATGCTTTTTACTCTTTGGGTACTTTTTCTCACTTCTTAATAAGCGGGGGCAGATTTGGGGGTAAACTATGAAACACTAGGATTCGTATCCTAAAGGTCTTGCCCTCCTCCCTCCGCCCCTGCCTGTCATGGAGTACAAGCTTAGGCCAGGTCATCTTGAGAAAGGACACAGTCTCTGCTCCAATGGCCCTGGGGACCCAGCAAGGGGACAGACCCTAGATAAGCCACTAACGAGGAAGAGAGGTCAATGGTAGGACACAAGGATAGCAGGGTGCTAGGGGAGCCCCTAACAGGTGCACGTACTCCTGGGTGGTAGGCAGGCTTGGGGGAGAGAGGCCGGGGCCTTCCTGGGCTGTGTCTGCCAGGCACCTTGCCGAGCCCCGTGTGCACACTGGCCATGTGCGTTTGCAGCCGGAGGGGCCGTTCATTAAGTTGGTCGATGCACAAATACTCATTGAGCACCCCTGGGCCCGACAGCGCACCAGACCCGGCTTGCGCACGAGACACACGAGGACCGAGGGTAGGAAGTGAGAGCGCTACCTCTGCCAGCCCTGGCATGTCTAGACGTCCAGGTGAACCTTCTAGAAGATCCTGATTATGCCACAGAAGTGAGTAAACTACTCCTTTTCCCTTTCTGCCCGACCTGGTCCAGCTGCCTCCAGGGAACTTTGGTTTAGCAGAGGCAAAATACAAGTCTTCAACTAGGAAAACTCAGGGTAGGGATATTTCTGCTTGCAACGATCTAACGATGACAGAAGGAAGGCCTGCAGTGGCTCGTGGTAATTCCTGGGGACTCCAGAAATGCCGGGGTTGGAAGGGAACTTTGTGGAGAGATGGGATTTTCTGTGCGTACATATGGAGTGGGAGGCCAAGGAGACCTAAATATTCGTGCTAATTTAAGCTGAGGTTGGGCCACATTTAGAACACCTCTTTTCCAAATTGTATACAACTATACAGTACATTTAGAATTAAAACTTTTTGGGGGCGCCTGGGTGGCTCAGTTGGTTAAGCGACTTCCTTCAGCTCAGGTCATGATCCCAGGGTCCTGGGATTGAGCCCCGCATCGGGCTCCCTGCTCGGTGGGAAGCCTGCTTCTCCCTCTCCACTCCCCTGCTTGTGTTCCTGCTCTCGCTAACTCTCTCTCTGTCAAATAAAAAAATAAAATCTTTAAAAAAAAAAGAATTAAAACTTTTTTAAAAAAATATTTATTTGAGAGAGAGAGAGAGAGTGCATGCAAGCAAGCAGGGGAGGGGGCAGAGGGGAAGGGAGAGGAAAAGAATCTCAAGCAGACTCTGCACTGAGCACGGAGCCCGACATGGGTCTGAATCTCACAACCCTGAGATCATGACCTGAGCTGAAACCAAGAGTCGGGACGCCTAACTGAGCCACCCAGGTGCCCCTAGAATTAAAACTTAAAAAAAAACCCTTTATTTTATAATTAACTGTCCTTGGGGTGCCTGGCTGGCTCAGTCAGTGCAGCATGCAACTCTTGATCTCGGGGTTGTAGGTTTGAGCCCCACTTTGAGTGTAGAGATGACTGAAAATGAAATCCTAAAAATAAAATAAAATAAAACTGTGCTCCGCAACTCTCCCACCCCCTTCCCACCCTGCCCCCACCCCTTCTCTCATTAGCCAGGATTTGGGGTGTCTTTGGCCTGCAATCTATTGCTCACACCCAGATTCGACCTTCATCCCCAGTGCCCTGCAAGGGCGAGTTAGAGATTTGTGAAAGGCTGTTACTGAAAGTTATCCTTTCATGCAGCAGAATTGATAGTTGTGAAAAACTAGACACCATTAACATGGCCCAGTGCTAGGAGACTGGTCCAAGACAACTATTCATCCACTTGAGAGAACATTAGGTACCTATCCAAATGGTGTTCACGAGAGCCAGTCATTGGATTAGCATGGAAAACATTTCTACCAAGTTAGGTGAGAAAAGCAGGATGAGAATTGTATGCACACTTTCTCGCCTCGGATCCAAGCGGAGGGAGACTCAGCGAGGTCCCACGACAGCCGCCTCTATCTGGAGGGGATATGCTTATGTTTTCCTTCTTTCCACCTGTCTAGAATTGTTAAGTTTTCTAGGATGTGGACTACTTGTTTTATGAAATAGAAAGTAGATAATAAGTATTGACATCAAAGTAACAGATTTTTTTTTTTTTTAAAGGAGACCGACCCATAGTCTGCTGGTCTTAGTTTAGTTTCTTAAATCGCTTGAATGAACACAGCCTCCTCCGCCCCACTGAATGAAGCCATCGTGGGAGGAGAAGGAATGTGTTTTCTGGGAAGACTGTTCTCATGATGTTAGCAATGGCTGAAAACCCAGGAAGTCTAAGTCTTTTGGGTTCTTGGACCCAATTCCAATGTGTGTGTGTGTATGTGTGTGTAACCACCATGGTAAGGTAGCAAATGCTGGACCGTTCTACCCTAAGAAAACTCTAGGCTAACCTGACTGATTTGTAAACTTGTTTTGCAGAAGTTGACCAACCACCGGTAAGCCTGGGAGCAAGCCAGGAAGAATTCTTGCAACTGTGCAGAAGGGACCAGGAGCGAATGAAAGTAATCTCTGTGAGGACACACCCCGAGATGTCCCCCCATTCATCATACTTACATTTTTGAACACGTGTCCCATGAAGAGATGCGCTTGCTCAGAAAGGAAGGCACCTGCCTTTCCCTCTATCCAATTAGCCTATCTCATTCAACTTATATGCTGACCCCTTGTCCTTAGACATGCCCAACCCCCAGCCCTTTGGGCGGCAGAGCTGAGGTTTGTTTGGCTGCCTCTCGAATAAACTCTTCCCTTGATGCATGATCCATGTCTCAGTGACTGGCTCTGCTGTGCACCGGATAGAGCTTGGGTTTGTTTACACGTGTGGGTGCACCGGGGAGGCTTCCGCACCCCCACAAGCAAGTCTGTGACACCAGCAGCTGTCCAAGAATTCAGTTCGATTCTGACACTATCTACTCGGGAGAGAGCATCACATTCCCCAGGTGAAGGTTTGGTCCCACCAGACCACCCTCCACTTCAGAGGACAGTCACGACCCCAGGTTGTTACCTGTGCGTCCAACTGCCTGGCTGTCCCATCAGAGGTTCCCACAACCCCCTCCTTGGATTTGATGAATTTGCTACAGCAGCTCACAGAACTCAAGGAAACCCATTTACTCACAAGATTACCGATTTATTACACAGGAAATTAAAGAATACGAATTGACAGCCGGATGAAGAGATGCATAGGGCAAGGACATGAACAAAGGAGCTTCTGTCCTTGCTGAAGTCTGGGGCCCAGCACGGTAGCCTGTGGAAGTGTTCTGGCTCCCTGACCTGGAAGCTCTCCAAACCTTCTCCTTTTTGGGGTTTTATGGAGGCTTCATTACAGAGGCACAATTGATTAACTCCTTGGCCATTGGTTGATTCAAGCTTCAGCCTCTCTCCCCTCCCAGGAAATCAGGGGGTGAGACCGAAAGTTCCACCCCTCTGTGTATGGTTGGTTCCCCTGGAAACCAGCCCCCATCCTTAGGTGTTTCCCAAAGTCACCTCATGAACATAACCCCAGCTGTGGTGGACTCACCACCACATGCTGTGAATAACAAGACACTCATTTCACCTCAGAGGCTCTGAAGTGTTTTCAGGAACTGAGGACAAGAGACCAAATACACAAGGTGTACCCATTGCTCTTATCACTCAGGAAATTCCAAGGGTTTTGGGAGCTGTGAGCCAGGAACTGTGGATGAAGACCAAATATATAGGAAAAATATATTTTGGTCACCTGAATGAATGACCAAATACATATATTTCTTAGAAATCACAGTATTTGCTCCTATGTAGCCTCCAACCCGTTCATCCATCCATCTCACCTATCCATCTGTCCCTCACCCATCCATCTACCCATCCACGCACCACCCAC